AGACATGGAGGGTGCCTCCAGGGAGACTGCTATACAGTCTGGAGGTTAGAGCAACCCTCCCGAGAAGCCAGATGTGCATTTGAGACCCCCGAGGCTGAGAGGAGGTCAGGATCCAGGCATCCCACTTCCTGCGTGTTCTGACCTCAAGGTTATGGGGCAAACTGCGCGTGCCTCCTCTCCCTCCCAGGCCAGTCCTGTGCCTTCCCTCTGGAGAGGGCCTGTGGATTCAGAAAAGAAATGGGTCAAGACACGGATGTGCAGTTGTAACTTGGGGACCTAAGCTTGGAGGAGTGGGCGTTCGGGCATGGCTCAGCTAGCTCGAGGGGTATCACTGCTAGTGCTGTGGCTGTCTGAAGCACTCTTTGGAGGCACTTAACTTTCCCCACACACTTCAGAGGGAATCTAGCCATTTCATGGTCTTTTTGAATCATCCTCCTGGGTTCGGGCACTTATTCAAAGCCCACATTGGAAGCCCATAAGGGACTCATCTAGATTTTGTCCCTACACCAAGCTACTGTGAGGTGGTCACTGGTGGTGCTCCTCGTCTTCTGCGCGCCCAACATGAGACCCTAGGGTCCGATTTTCAGTGTTGAGTATTCCCCATTGCCACGAAGCCAGTGGGAGCCGTGCTCTGAACTGACTGTGAGCAGGTCGCTTTAATTCTGGCTTTTCCTCACTTCTGCAAGCTTGACTTGGCCGCCTGAATAATACACAGGTTTTTGATGCGTGCAGTTTAAGCTAACCACACCGCTGTGAGGTAGGGAAGTGTTACCCCCGTTTTATAGATGGGGAAATATGCCACAGAGCCCAAGTAGCCTCAACTCTATGATTTATTACAACGGGCACTTGCAGCAGGGTGATGAAAGAGGAGTCAAGTCATCCCACCTCACTCCCTTCGCATCTCGCAGAGTAACCAGCACTTCCTTCCAACAAATGCCTTATCCTAAACCTATTCCTGAATTCATCATGGAAAGACAACGATTCTCAACCAGGATCCTGTGGGACCTTAGGGTGCCTGAAGCTCCTTTCCAGGGTGCCAAGGGGTACTATGCAATGGTAGCACTGTTGGGTGTGCAAACATGATTCACAAGATAAACCAAGAGGCTTACGAACCCAGAGTGTCGAGGCCATTCTGCCTTAACTAGAAGTGCCTTGACTTGAATTGCTCTAGTATTTTTTTCTATAGTCAGAAAAAAGAGTGAAAGCTCAGAGCTGGCATTTTCCGAGGGAGCCTTTAGACTAGAAAAGGTTGAAAACCATGCGTCCAAGAAGATGCAACGGAAATACAGACACAAAAATCTTTGTCAAGGTAGCAGAAGGAGAGTAAAACCGCCTTTCCTGCCTACTCGGTATTTATCCTTTCCACCCTACTCCTTGGTTATTACCCAGTTGTGCTAACGAGGCTGAAGCCGACTCTGAAAAAACGCAGTCCCTTTTTAAAGGACCCATCAGCTAAACTGCAGAAATATTCCTTTTT